AGGAGAAGAGTGAAAGTAAAATAAAGTCATTTGTGGGGAGGGATCTGCTTTTTAATGGTTCTTTTTAATTTAGCCCTAGCCAAGAGATTAGAAGATGCTCTGAGCCAAACTGCTGGCATCACTCAGCAGGCCATTGTAGCGCAGAATGCTGCAGTCCAGGCCGTCAGTGCCCACTCCAACATACTGAAAGCAGCCATGGACAACTCGGAGGTGAGCCAAAGGATGATTAGATATGTAGTACTTAAGAAACTGATGTCTTCCTCCTAGCGTGGGTTTTCTCTCACTAAGTGGAGATAATCTAAAGTAATTGTCTTTAAAAAAAAAAAGCAAATCCTTTAAATGTTCTTTTTAATTAATTTTACATATGTTTATCTCACAGCAATGATATGGTACAAGAATTAGTTCAGATTTGTCTTCATGTCTTAATAGTGCTTAAATGTATTTGCTATTTGCTTTCTATTTTTTGCTTTAAAATCAACCATTTTAAAAAATTTTTTATTTTGAGATACATTTAGATTTACACGCAGCTGTAAGAACTAATACAGAGAGATCCCATGTACCCTAAAACACAAGCTATTTTACATGCTTATGCTGATTATTTAACTTACATTTAATACTTCAAAGAAAGAAGTAATTACATTGATTTAAAAATGTAACACTGGGACTCAAAAGTTTCCTTTATAATTATATTCAGTCATTCAGTATATAAAAATTTATCTTGACACCAAGCCATTTAAAGAACAAAATACAAAAAAAATATATCTTAGTCACGGGATGTAAAGTACAGCATAGGGAATATAGTCAATGGTATTATAATAGTTATGTATGGTGTCAGAGGGGTAGTAGACTTGCTGGAGTTACCACTTTGTGAGGGGTGTAAATGTCTAATTATTATGTTTTGTACACCTGAAACTAATAAATAAATTAAAAGTCCTAAGTGAATGGAGAGATGCATTATGTAAATTGGTTGGGAGACTTACTAAAATAAAGATTTAAATTGTTCACCCCCCCCCCAAAAAATAGCAAAATATAAAACTATAAATCGCATGGATCAGAATCACGCATAATCAGTAAAGTTACTTTGTCACCACAACTCTGTGGTTTTTAAAAATTTAAACACACCACATTGTTTTAGTCATAGGTACATCACAAAAAAGTTAAATTAGATCTTTGGTGTAAACAGCCAAAAGCTACAACCTTTGAAAACTTAAAGATAATTGTTTTTTTCCAAGTCCAAGAAAAAAAATTTCAGTCAGAGTCTAGTCAGGAAAGTAGAAACCACACAGAGAATATTTAATAGGCTGGTTATACAGCTGAGGGAAGGCTGGAAATTGCATGGTATTAGGAATGGTATTAGAAAGTTGGGTTCGAACCCAAGTGGACCGGTATCTTTCAGAAGGGCACTGATTTGAAGCTTTAAATATTCAATACTACTCTGGTGGAAGGCTACATTAGAGGGTATTTCCTCTTCCCAGTGAACACATAGTATGTAGTACATGTGGATTAGACAGTATGAAAGCTGTTGCAATCAAGATTTTCCACCTAAAGAAGACCTTATAGTGGCAGTTAACTAGACTAGGAAGTATTAGCTAGTGTTCCAAAATAATCAGAAAACTGAACAGAAGGTTTGAAATGTTAAATGGATTCAACTTCTGTTTTTTTCTAGTAAAAGAAACTGTAGGTGCACAGGGACTCTGTGGTACACACTGAATTACTTTATCAAAGCAGTGTTTGCACACAGTTGGACTTGGCTTGATTGTAGAGGAATCTAGTGTCTGTTTTACAGGACAGTTTACCCTTGGGCCTCTGTAAGCAGGAATATCTTTAACAAAGGGAGATAATGTCATTAACACTTACATGATTTGTAAGTATTTTTGGGTTAGTTATAAAGAGTTCTTAATACAATACCAGGTTCTTCTAATAGCATACTATAGAGTCTTGGAAAATTTGTTGTACATGACAAGATACTGATATGGCCCAAACTGGCATCCCTGCCTAATGTATTTTATTTTGCAAGATGGCTAAGGTGGTAATTCACTGAAACATCATCTTCATTATTCACACCATAAAATTAATTTGCTTTGTCACTTGGCAACAATTTATGTAGAACATAAAAACAAAAAACATGACATACAAAGATAGAAGAAAAGTACCAAAAATTTCCTCTAAAAGCTGGAATTTTTTTTTTTTAAGATTTTTTTGCAGAATTGGGGAAGGGGAACAGCCAAGGTGTTGTCCTTCANCTCTGAGCAACAGCGGTTCGAGTCCGGCCCGAGCTGAGCTGCTGCTGAGCTGCCAACAGGTGGCAGGATGGCTCAGCTAAAAAAAAAAAAAAAAAGTCAAGACCACAGATTGTAAAAACTAGAGAGACTTGCCAAGAACATTTTGAAAAACTGTTGGGATTAGGAGGCGTCAGATGACACTTGCTTTTCCAGATAATGACTTTGTTAAAATCCTACTTTAATAAAACAATAAGCTTTTGACACAGGATTAGAAATTAGAGAATAGAACAGCTGGTCTGGAAATAGATCATATTTATACACAAACACATTTATTGAGAGTGTGAGTTGCTAGAACCTTATGTGAAAGTAATCTGTTAATATCTTAAAAATATACTACTTTGACCCAGTGATTTCTCTTGTGGCAAACTGTTACAGATACCTACTGTAGTGCTTTTCAGGTATATAAATAAGGATATTTAACACAATAAAACAGGAAAGAACTTGAATGACCAAAAATAGGGAAGTAATTGGCAAGTTTGCAACCCATAATTATGATATGCAATTAAATTAGGATATCACCCAACTAAAAAAGAGTTTCTTGACCCAGAAGAGAATGTCCATGATATATTGTTAAATGAAAAATGTGACTACATGGTTATTTGTATAATAATCCTATTTTAGTTGGTTTAAAGAAGTGAAAAAATGTGTATATGTATGTACCTGAGTTTATGCTGGGGGAAAGGATCAAGTTCAGGCTCTTAGCAGTGGTTACCTGGGAGTGCTGGAAGGGAAAGGAACAATAAAGAGGCAAATTAAAGCCATTGATTTATCTTGATATTATTTTGCTTGTTATAGTGAGCATGAATTTCATGATTTTAAAAAATAAAATTTCATTAAAAAGAAAATGCATATACTGGGAGTGCCAAAAACCGTATACACAGGACTTGTATTCATCTTTTGTTATTGGTATATATTGAATATTACAATTTTAATACAGTTTTTTCCTTTCTTAATATGTGTATACAATTTTTTGGCACCTTCTGTATATTTAATTTCTGGTAGTGACAAAGTTCAAAACCATTTCTGTTTTGTTAGAGTAGTCATCTTTAGGGATTTCAGAGCCCCACTACCAAGTTCTGGCAAAAAGTGAGAGAACATAGCAGGTAAATGAGAATATTTCTGTTGCTCAGTCATTTTCTCCGGCACATCATCTGGCAGTCCTATTAAGGAACAGTGCCTTAAACTTAAGACAGGTAGTAATTGAGAAGGAGAAAAGCAGGCGTGACAATTGGATTATATAGTTAAGTGTGTAGTTGCATGATTCCTGGAGATTAAAGATTAAAAAACTATTTTCATTTTTACTCAGAGCCTCTCAAAACAATTTGTTTCTAACTGAATGTATCCAGAAGACAGTGTGACTTAGGAAGCAAATGGAAATAACCTTTTCAACGTTATGTAGGGAAAGAGTGGTGTTCAAAGGGAAAGTCATACGTCATGCACTTTATTAGTTGCCCTAAGAGAAGCTTTGGAATGAAGTTTGTGGACTGCATTCTTCTAGTGTGATGGCTTCTCTTACCTTGGTTAATAAAATGTATGTTGTAAAGTGAAAGTGTTAACTTTAGTTAGAAGCCTAAAGATTTGACTTGAAATAATACACATTATGCTACCTTTTTGAATAAACAGTATTACGTCTGAAATGTTAAATGTTTTTCATTTCCAAGATTCAGCCTGGTCCACTAAAAATCTCAAGTGTATCAGAGGTAATGAAAGAGTCTAAACAGCCCGCCTCACAACTCCAGAAACAAAAGGGAGACAGTCCAGCTGCAGCAGGTACTGATATTTAGAATGATTCGTTTAAAATTATTTGACTTTTAGTGAACACACAATGCAATATACAGATGATGTTTTATAAAATTGTACAGTAGGAACCTATATAATTTTATTAACCAATGTCACCCCAATACATTTAATAAAATTTTTTAAAATGCAAAAAAAATATATAGGTAAATGAATTGTTTTAATGTGTTTGTACCCATGATTAAGAGGGAGGCCCCTCCACATGAAGAATCCTTCTGGTCTCTAGCTCTCACTTTGGGGAAGGATTATTCTCACTTATCATTATGGGGGTGAAGGGAGATAATGGAATTGGGCTTTATTAATAACAGCTACTGAGTGAGGGTAACGGCAAGAATTGTCTTCCTTGCAGCACTTTTATTTTATATGTTTTTCATCTGACTCCTAGCCTTTCCCCCCTTTAGATTTTAAGATTTATTCTTTTTTCACCTGTTTTTCTTCCTCTTCTTTTTTTTTCCATTTTTTAGCTGAGCCATCCTGCCACCTGTTGGCAGCTCAGTGGCAGCTCAGCTTGGGCCAGGAATCGAACTGTCAGCCCTGTTGCTCAGAGCTCACACTCTTGAGCGAGCTCTTAACCAACTGAGCCACTCGGCCAGCCCCTTCCTCTTCTTTCTTAGTGACGAAAGTATCTGATTTAGTCTAGATCTATAGATATTTTTTGCCTTCATTATGTATCAGTAATCCCACCCTAGTTTACAGCACTTAAAACTAACTCTAACCTATTCAGTAATACATTTGAACTTCTTATGTTTCTCCTTAGTCACTTCTATTTTTGATTAAATCACTTGATTTTCTTTCTCTGGGCAAATATTCACTATCTACTATGTGCCAAACATCTTCCAGGCACTGGGGAAATAGAAATGAACAAAATAAAAACGAACAGATTCTGGGAATATTTCTTAGTAGGATGAGGGGAAGTAGATCATATATTAAATAGATAAGTAAAATGTATAGGCTGTCAGACAGTGATACGTATGGGAGGAAATAATTGCGATTTTAAATGGAGTGATAAGGAAAGTCTCACGTGGAACATTTCATTTGAGCAGAGACTACAAAGAGATGGGGAGTGAGTCATGTAAAAGCTGGTGGGGAAAGCATCTCAGGCAGATGGATTAGCTAGTGCAAAGGCTTGCATTTTGTAGCAAGGGGAGATGAAGCTGGAGTGGGGCAAGAGAACACTAGCAAATGAGGTCAGAGGGAGCAGAAAGCCTATTGTGGCAGTGCTTGGAGGCCACCATAAGATTCTGCTTTGTAGTCTGAGTGGGAGCGGAAGTCCTTCGGAGGGTTCTGAGCCAGGGGACTGATACCTGACTTTTATTTTAATAAAATCACTGGNTCACCTTACAAATTACAGAAGGTTATTCTTGAGCATAATGTTTTGGACAAGTAAGGGCCCTACAAATGTGTAAACTTTCTACTTATCCTTAAACAATGAGTTTAAGAAAATTTTAAGTACCTGTGCTTCATTGAAGAATGATTTAGTGAAAAAACATAATTCATGAAAAGTTACTGTTCTTATTAGCTTTTTATGCTTCATATCTCCTTTTGATAATCTAATAGAAATATCATCTCTCCTTGTAAAATGCCCATATGCATAGAAACAACGATCTTTTACAGTTTTGATGTGGGAGGGGGCGGTTGATGGGAGATGCTTCATGGATTTTTTGAGTCTAACCATGAACCTTAGATTAAGAGTTCCTACTCTGGATAATTATTGTATATAACTTTTTTACCTTTGAATTTAATGTCCTTTGTTTCTGCATTTGGTCATGTTGGCCTGTCCTATGACAATAATAGCAGTTATTTATGTTTATATAATTTAATCTTTCTTTTTTATGTTGATGGGATTTGGCTCCTTTTATTTTTTATTTTAAAAATTAACTTATGTTTCAATTACAGTTGACATACAATATTATATTAGTTTCAGATGTACAGCATAGTGATTAAACATTTATATACCTTATGAAGCAATCACCCTGATAAATCTAGTAATTAAAACTTTTTGTTTAGATTGCAGGTGAGAAGAAGTCAGCTCAGTGGCGCACAGTGGAAGGTGCATTGAAGGAACGCAGGAAGGCAGTAGATGAAGCTGCTGATGCCCTTCTCAAAGCCAAGTAATTACTCATGGACTTTAACAAGTAATTAGGGCCTCCTGATGGCTTTCTTTGGGCTGGGTTTTCTTTGTACCATCTGTATGGAAAGAGGAAGCAGAGAAAACCTTCCCTCCCTTCTCCACCTGTTCTTTATCTGTATTGGTATCAAACACAGGTTTAAAAAGGAGAGAGGAAATAAAATATAATAGCCCAAAATAAATTTGACAGAAACCTATATAAAGGATCTTGTATAAAAAGCAGTTTTCTTTGGTTGTTGCTTAGGTGATATATCTGTACAGATTTACTGAGATTCTGCCGTAATTTAAGATTTTTCTTGAATGATTTGAGCAGTTTTATCAGAATTTAGAGAGTATCTTACAGTCTCTTTGCCTTAATTACCAAAGTAGTTTTATATAATATTAATAGGTAAGTTTTATGCCACCTTGACCTTGATTTCTGGAAGTTGGCTAAAATTAGGATGAAGCAAGTAAACCANCCATTTTCTGTAAATCTTACGTTCACCTCTCACATGTTAAGATTTAGTACCCACTTCGTACTGTTAGTAGAAAACTTGCCTGAGAATAGTGATGGTTAGCATGCAGGTGGATGCTGACAAGACCCGTCTCCTGTGCTTTCCCAGCCATTGTCCATCTTGTGTGGGTTTGTCTCTGTGGTGGGTAGTGCCCCTGTCTATTTGTGTGTTTGAATTGTGACAGCACATGGATTTGTTTCTTCAAGGAGCCAAACGTGAAGCAGGTGATAGGTAGTAGTAGATTCTTGCGTGTTTCTCTCTTAACCCAGGAAACTATAAATACCATGAGTAACATATATTTATAGCACCTACAGAGGCAGCTCAAATTATTTCTGCAGCAGGTGATACACTGTCGGTCCCAGCCCCTGCGATTCAACATGAGGAATCTATAAAAACTGATCACCCTCAAATTGGTGAAGGAAAACCCAAGCCTGCAACTTCAGGTAGTTTAACTTATATTTGTGGTTTTATAAATGACTTGCTCATCAGAATTATTTAATGCCTAGACAACCCCTAGACACTATGTAAATACACATTTAAAGTCTGCAGACTTGCTTAGGGATTTTCAAAGTCTGAATAAATCTTTGAAAACAAGGGGTTTAATTCTTCATGTTGGAGTCATTGAGTGATAATGTGACCGAAGGTATTTTTATATCCCTGTGAGCTATTGAAATTCTGTGCTGAAATGTGATTTCCTCTTATTTACTCTTGCCGCAAGAGGAAGCATCCTCAACTTCTATACGGGAGCGACCACCCGAAGAAGTGGCAGCTCGCCTTGCACAGCAGGAAAAGCAAGAACAAGCTAAGCTTGAGTGTATGTAAACCAGACGACTTCTTAAATAATTTGGGTCATCTGTCAGTTGCTTTCTCCTTCCAACCACCGGTACAAGTTTCTCATCTATCATCTAGTCATGGTTTCTTTTGTACCTTTAGTAGCATTGCTCTCTTCACCACCTTTATTTCATCATTTGTGTTCTTTCCATCTGAACTTCTTTTACTCAGGTGACAAGGGCTATTCTTAGTTTACAGTTAGTAAACTCCAAATAATATGTGTACTTTTTCCATTTGTTTTTATTATGGTTAGTGAAGATTGTCTAAACTCTGGTGAACAGAAATTGTGGGGGGTTTTTTTGTCAGCTTTCCTGAGAATCTTTTGTTAAACTCCTAAAGTCATTTGTGCAGGTCAGAGTGGCTTACACCCTGGTTTATTACCCAGCCTGTGTACTCTCTCTGTAGTAGCCCCCTTATCTGACATTGGTGGGGGTGAAATGTTCCACATGTTACTGGTTTCCAGCTAACTGAAGGGTATTTCCTTTTAAGTTTCAATGTTAAGTTTTTTGATGATCTATAAAAAGATATTAGATGTGTAAAAATGTATTTTCCTGTCTTAGTTAAGGCACATGGAACATAATTTATTGTACAGTACTGCATGCTGAGATATATTGATGTCTCTGGAGGTAGTGGGCATGTGCCTTTTTGCTGGACTGAGCAATGTTTGTTTTAAATTCTTATGACAGGTACTTGTAGTTTTGTTTTGTTTTTTAGTCTCTCCCATCACTTCTGTTTATCTTTCTGCCTAGAGTCTTGCTTGCGTCCCTTCTCATGTGTTGGTTTTGCCCTCCTCTGAGGAGGCAAGTTTGTTAGAATTGTGTAAAGAGTAGAAGGGGCAGAAGGAGCATAGATGTAGGGCATTAGTTTGGCTAATTGGGTTTTTTTTTTTAACATTCTTCTGAGTTCTTGGCCATGTTAACAAATTGTTAAAAATGTTGAATAAATAACTTCTAAACAGGTGAAGTATTTCTGGTTTTTCCCCACTTAATTTTTCCTAAATTCTCTACTACAAATCAAAGATCACTTTTTTCTTTTATTCATATTTTTTCCTTTTCTCCTTTTATCATATGGACACCTTGAAGTAAGTGGTAAATTTAAGATGGCAATGTCTATTGTTTCATCATGCTCCTTTTTTTCTTTGTCTAGTTCTTATCTTTAATTTTGGGCAATGTGAAAATTTTCAGGATTTTGTCTGTCACCTCTTAGTTTTCTCCCCAACTTTACTTTAAAAATATGTGTGTGCATGTAAAAATTTTATCAAGAATCAAAGCACAAAAAACCAAGTTGGACTACATCAAACTGAAAAACTTCTGTACAGCAAAAGAAACAATCAACTAAATGAAAAGGCAACCTATGAAACAGGAGAACGTATTTGTAAAGCATACATTTGATACAGGGTTAATATCTAAAATATGTATGGAACTCATACAACTCATAGCAAAAAAAAAAAATATATATATACATATATATACATGTATATATATATATATATATATCTCAAAGCACAGTGAGTAGACCTCTGAAGAGGGCTTCCAGCCAGCGGGTCTGTGGGCCTCTGTAAAGTGGTTTACTGTTGTTTGTGCTTGAATGTCTCATCATTAATTCCTGCATATTCCCACGTCTTCATATTCCCTGTGTCTTCAGTTTAACTTCAATGTCACATTTACGTCTTGGTAGTAAATAGCAGTAGTAGCTTTCTCCTTTCGTCTGTGTTGCAGAGGTACCATATGTGATTCATCAGGTTCTGTTTGTTCATGTCTAGCTTATGCTTCTTTTGCTCAAAATCACCTTTTGTTTTTGTCTCACCTGCCAAATATATTTTTCCCTTTTTTTGTTATCTGATAGCTGATAAATTTGTATTGTCACTGGCCTTTTTTCTTCAAATGACCGTTTTTCCATTTTAATATTGTATCTAAAATCATCTCTTGCTTTACTGTAAAAAAAAAAGATTAGGTTTCTTTTTTATTGCTGAAGCAGCATATAGAAATGTGATCTCAATGGCTGGTAGCTTCTTGAATACTGGTGTCAGCTATTTCTTAAGTCCTTTGTGGAAAAATACTGTCCATTTCCAAGCTACCTTTTCTTTTTTT